TGGTTGTGGGATTTTATTTATAGATATTTTTGCATTTTAGTTTATACTAAGCATATGTTATTTTTAATATAAGGAAAAAGCTTTTAAAAATATTTCAAATATATGCTATATTTCATGCACAAAAATGTATTCTAAACAGGGAAGTGGCACTTAATTTAATTGCCTTAGGGAATGCTATCATGAAACCCTGCCCCAAATTTTAAAGGATAAAATTTCCTAGTTTAAATATTTAGCATATTAAACTCTACTTAGTTAAACCATACCTCCCATCCCATCCTGCCCCATCATAGAGAATTTTCCACTGTAGGAAGGAGATAACTACTGTAAAGTTTTTTAGCGGCGAGGAGAAAGAAAGACAGAGTGGGTGGCCAAACAACGTGGCTGTATTGAGCGCTCCTGGGCGAGGTTCACGGTCCTGAGAGAGGGGCCAGAGAAGTCACGCCACCCGGAAGTTTTGAGCGGGCTTATATATGTTTTAGAGTTGGGGGATGGGCGTTTTTCTGGCATGAAGAGTAGGGAACTCTTTGTTTTCAGTTTTAGGGTGGGTATTGAGAAGTAGGAGGGGCCGGTGGTATGTGTGGATTCCAGGAGACAAAACTCATTTTCCTTTTGATATGCTGTTAGATTCAATTTGCTAGTATTTTGTCGAGGGCTTTTACATCTATGTTCATCAGGGATATTAGTCTATAGTTTTCTTTTTTTGTGATGTCCCTGTCTGGTTTTGGTAACAGGATGATACTGGCTTCATAGAATGCATTAGGAAGAATTTCCTCCTTGATTTTTTGGAACAGTTTCAGGAGGATTGGCACTAGTTTTTTTATGTTTGATAGATCCTGGGCCTTTTTTTTTTTACTGGGAGATTTTTTCATTAGTGATTCAATCTTGCTGCTCATTATTGGTCTGTTCAGGAGTTCTATTTCTTCCTGGTTCAATCTTGGGAGGTTGTATGTTTCCAGGAATTTATCTATTTCCTTTAGGTTTTCTAGGTTGTGAGTGTACAGATGTTTATGATAGTCTCTGACATTCTTTTGTATTTCTGTGTTATCCATTGTAATGTTTCCTTTTTCATTTCTGATTTTATTTGAGTCTCATTTCTTCTTTTCTTGGTTAGTCTAGCTAGCAGTTTTTATCAATTTTATTTTTCTTTTTGAAGAACCAACTTTTCATTGATCCTCTGTATTTTTGTTTGTGGGTTTTTTGGCGGTTTGGGGGGGTTTTTTTGGTCTGTATTTCATTTAATTCTGCTCCGATATTTGTTATTTCTTTTCTAGTAACTTTTGGTTTGGTTCTTATTTTTGTACTTTCTTGAGGTGTGATGTTAGGTTGTTAATTTGTGATCTTTCTACTTTTTTGATATAGGCATTTAATGGCATGAACTTCCTTCTTAGCACTACTTTATCTGTATCCCACAAGCTTTGGTACATTGTGTTTTTATTTTTATTCATTTCAAAAATATTTTAATCTGTCTTAATTTATTCATTGATCCAGTGATCATTCATGAGCATGTTGTTTAATTTCCGTATATTTGTATAGTTTCTGAAGTCCATCTTCGTATTGATTATTAGCTTTACTCCACTGTGGTCTAAGGAGACAATTGATATTATTTCATTTTTTTTTTTAATTTGTTAAGACCTCTTTTCTGACCTAACATGTGATCTGTCTTGGAGAATGTTCCATGTGCTGATGAAAAGAATGTATATTCTGTAGTTTTGGGGTTGTCTGTTAAGTCCATCTGGTGTAAAGTCCCATTTAAGTCTAATGTTTCTTTGTTGATATCTGTCTCCACAATCTGTCTAGTGCTGTAAGTGGGGGTGTTGAAGTCCCCCACTATTATTTTATTGTAGTCTATTTCTTTAGGTCTAGTAATATTTGTCTTATGAATCTTGGTGCTGTGATGTTGGGTGTATGTATATATATAGATAGATAGATGGTTTTTACATGCTCTTGCTGAATTGATCCCCTTATCACTGTATAATGACCTTTTTTGTCTTTTTTTACTGTTGTTGATGTGAAGTCTGTTTTACCTGATAAAAGTACTTCTTGCTTTTGGTTTCCATTTGCACAGAATATCTTTTTCCACTCCTTACTTTCACTCTATGTGTATCTTTACAGATAAGATGAGTTTCTTGTAAGCAGCGTATAACTGGATCATGTTTTTTTAATCCATTCTGCCAATCTGTATCTTTTAAGTAGACCATTTAATCCATTTACATTCAAGGTTAATGTTGATATGCGAGGCTTTGTTTCTTTCATGTTGTTTATTGACTTCTAGTTGTTTCATAAATTGTTTCTTTCTTTTTCTCTGTCTTTAGGTCTTTCTAGTTTGATGAAATTCTGTCATGTTGCCATTTGATTCCTCTCTCTTCCTCTTTTGTGTGATTGTTTTATAATATCTCTGAATTTTATATTTTCTTTTGTTTTTGTGATGGTGAATACTGACCCTTCATTTCTATGTTTAAGGCCCCATGAACATCTCCTGTAGGGCCAGTCTAGTGGTGAATTCTCTCAGTGTTTTCTTGTCTGG